TTGCAAAGAATTGCTGAATATACATTAAACACTTTCAATGAAGCGCTCCAAAGAGGAATGATAATTCATGATATTGACATCGGTCGATGAGCTTCTCGAGCACAACAAGAGGTAAATGCGCCAAGATTCATAGCGTCATATACGTGGATACACAGATTCAAAAAACAACATAATATAGTATCTCGTAAAATAACGAAATTTGTCACGAAAAAATCTTTGTTATCAAAATCAGATTTGAAAAATAAGTGCAAAACATTTACAACAAATGTCAAATATTTTACTAACTAATATGAAGTAGAAAATATTTATAATTCGGATCAGAGTGGATTCCAGTTAGAACTTCACGCCGGTCGTACTTTAGCAAATAAAGATGCAAAAACAATAGAATCTGTAGTACAGTCTGTATCCGCAACCACGAATAGTTACACAATACAGCCAATTATTTCTGCTGATAATAGATTATTGTCGCCTCTTTTCATCGTATTAAAAGAATTTACAGGAACGTTTGGTCCACGAGTGCAGCAATCGTTATTTAACGCTCCTAACATTTATGTAATGGCTTCAAAGTCAGGTAAATTAACATCAAATCATGTAAAAACCTGGTTGAAAGAAGTTTTCTTTTCGAACGTCGGGCCACAATCTGTATTACTATTAGATTCTTGGAGTGGACATTGTTCCAACATAATTGCCGAAAGTAGACCAGATTTTGCAACAGATATATATTTTCTAACAATTCCGGCTGGTACAATGGGAAAAATACAACCACTAGATGTATATGGCTTCCGTTTGTGGAAAAATTTTATCAAATATTTCTCTGATAATATTATGTTACTCGATCTTGCAATTGATCTTTATAGTAGGAACAATATCTTGAAATTGCAGTCATTAACACACCATCAATTCTCGTCACCTAAGTTTCAAAATTTATTTAAATTTGCATGGTTTGAAAGTGGATATTTACAGACTAGACCACCAGAGTTCGAGACACCGGTTGATTTTTGTTTCTGAAAAGATCCTAAAGTACAATGCGATATTTGTGGCGAAACTGCTATAATTACTTGTTCTTGGTGCAAATGATCACTTTGCATCACACATTTCTTCCATGAGCACCACCTTTGTTACGAATATGTGCCATAAGTAAAACACATTTATTTTCTGTGTATGCAAATCCTCTATCGATTTTTCTTAATATTATATTAATTGTATGATTTTAAAATATTATAATAACATTATAAATTGTAAACATTATACATTAAATATATGCAATTATCTATGTATTATTTTTTTACAATTAATTACATTCCCCTACTTACAGTAACGTATCTAGCTACAGTATCCATCTACTTGAACGGCATGACGCGTATAGCACGATATTATCACGACGTTTTCCAACTATTTAATCGAGACCACCTTATAATATTATATATGGATAGATTTGGTATGAAATGCTGTACAATTTTTGTCCTTACAAAAACTTACAAATTTTGCAAAGGTAATAAGTAGGGGGGAGGTTCAAAAATTTGATGTTTTTGAAAAAATTTAATATATTGTTTCAAAGAGCGTTAAATACTGTACAACTTTTGTAGGAAACATTTTTTCATATACCTTATATTTTAGGAAATATTCAATAAAAATGGAAAAGTCATTTTTTTC